AAAATTATTATTAAAATGAAAAATTTTGTCCAATCTAAGTGTTGACAACTTTTCTCTCATGCAGAAAAATTATTTTACTTACATGAGAGATAGATATCACTTACCTACTTAGGAAAAATAAAATTTTATGAATTTCACATAAATCTGAAAAACAAACATAGATATCTTAGTCAATAAAAAAATAGAAGAAAAATTCAATTAGCTTTGTTTCTGTGATCCGAGTAAAGAATTCATTGATTTAGGAAATTCGTGTAATTAAAAATCATTATAAATAAGAAGATACTCCAAAAGAAACAAAAAACAAATCAAAAGAATGAAGCACGCGTCTTTATTAATAGTTAACCATTTGTTCTGGTGAAGGAACTTGTATTCAATAATTCACTCTAGTCTCTCCAATTGCCTAATCCGCTAATTAAAACTACTCTAACTTGCGAATTGGTTCCTCCGTAGGTAGTGGATGGGACATATTTTAGTAATCTAGTCATTTTCTTTAGAGGAAGATTCAAATTTACAAGAATCCCTCTCCTCCCTCTTTTGTTTTTGTCATTTTCTTTCTTGAATGATTCTTTGTCCCATATTGCTTGAGAAGGAGTGGGAGTAGAGTATATTTGTAGTCTTGCTCCCTCTATGAGTAGGGACCCATAAGAGGAGAGGACTATAGATATTCCATGCATGTGAGGGGGGGTTGGGGGTGCTTTTCACACGCGCACACCGGGCCGGGCCAGGGCGCGGGTGCAGGTGCTAGAAGCAAAATTTACTAAGAAACCTCATAAAAGTGTACAAAGAGAAACTGAACTCTTACAACTTATACACAATGATCTAGGAGACCTTAAATGTCATGAAGCTAGAGGAGGAAAAATATATTATATAATCTTTATAGATGATTTCTCTAAATATGCAAAAGTAGTTCTACTTAGATCAAAAGATGAGGCTGATCAAAATTTCATAAACTACAAAACTGAAGTAGAAAAGAAAATAAAAAGACGTAGAACAGATAGAGGAACTGAATATGATGGACAAACCATAAAGAAGCTATAACTCATCAGGAAGCTATAACTTCACCTAATGCAGTATTTTGGAAAGAAGCCATAAAGAATGAAATAGACTCCTTAGTCACTAATCAAATTTGGGAACTTGTAGATCTCCCACATGGAACTAAGGCACTAGTTTGTAAGTGGATTTTTAAAAAAAAACTAAAACCAGATGGCACAATAGATAAATTCAAGGCCATGTTAGTTACTAAGGGATTTAGACAAAAGAAAGATGTAGACTTCTTTGACACCTACTCCCCGGTTGCAAAATTAACAATAATTAGGGTTTTGTTTGCTATACCATCCATTTACAAACTGGTAGTTCACCAAATGGATGTGAAAACAGTTTTCTTAAATGGGGAATTAGAGGAATAAATTTATATTAAGCAACCTAAAGGCTTTATAATGCTAGGACAAGAAAATAAAGTATGTAAATTGATTAAGTCTCTGTATGGCTTAAAACAAGTTCCCAAACAATGGCATGAAAAATTTGATAATGTGTTAATAACTAATGGATATAGCATAAATGATTCTGATAGATGTGTCTATGGTAAATTTGAAATTAATACAGGAGTCATTATTTGTTTCTATGTTGATGATATGCTAATAATGGGAACTAGTCTAGAGGTAGTAAAAGAAACAAAACAATTTATAATATCCAAATTTGATACCAAGGACTTTGGTGAGGCTGATGTAATCTTGGGGATTAAAATCCATAAAGAACAAGGAAACCTCATTCTTTCCCAATCACATTATGTAGAAAATATTCTTAGGAAATTTGGACACTATGATTGTAAACCGGTTAAAACACCTTTTGACTGTAGTGTTTACTTAAAGAAACATGTATGAGAACCTGTTTCACAAAAGGAGTATGCAGGTATAATTGGATCTGTATCCTATTTAATGAACTGTACAAGACCAGACATAGCTATAGCTGTGGGAAAATTAAGTCAGCATATAATCTCGAAAATGAACATTGGGAAGCTTTAGTAAGATTATTAAAATATTTAAAGGAACCATAAACTTTGGTTTACATTACTCAGGTTTTCCTCCTGTTTTAGAAGGCTTTACTGATGCGAATTGGATTTCAGATTCAAAGGATAGTACTTCCACCAGTGGATATGTGTTTACTTTAGGTGGAGGAGCAGTATCGTGGAAATCGGTAAAGCAGTCATGCAATACAAGTTCAACAATGGAGGCCGAGTTCATTGCATTAGAATTGGTGGGGTCCGAGTCAGAGTGGCTAAGGAACTTGCTGGTAGATATACCACTTTGGCCTCTACTGGTTCTGTCTATATCTCTCCATTGTGATAGCCAAGCAGCAATAGCTAGAGCCAAGAACCAGTCATATAACGGTAAAAGAAGGCACATCCGCTTAAGGCATTACTTGGTAAGACAATACCTCAGCAAAGGTACGATCACTCTAGATTTAGTAAGGTCTGAAAAAGAACATTGCAGATTCGTTAACCAAGCTACAAACTTCTAAGGTGGTTTATGAGGCATTGGTAGGAATGGGGCTGAAGCCCATTACAAAGTCATTAGTGATGGACACCCAACCTATGTGAAAGGAGATCTCGGGAATTAGGTTGAATGGGTAAAAATGAGTCACTAGATGACTTGGGAAAGCACTATCATTTGTGTTCCATTTCAGATGCCGTGATAAGATAGTGCTCACTGCATATTGAGGAGGTTGAGCATGAGGCTCTTAATCAGTTAGGAATAGTGTGAGCAGTGCACATTAATAACTGACCTAAGTGAGTGTGATGTGTTGCCGCTTCTAAGAGAGATGTAGGACTGACTATCGAAAACACTCATGATTCCAAGAGGGGAACAAGGCCGAAATGTTCCAAAACAAAAGAACCACTAAAGAACTGGTGAGTTGAGTTGGTTGACCGGTTAGCTAGTTACGATAAGGAGGAAAAGTGAAGGAGTCTGACTCCACCCGTACTCTGTAATATAACCTGTCGTACCTAAGTGTTGATTGAAGTTCAAAAGACATCACCATGAATACTTTTCTAACTGCGATGCTCAGATTGTTCGATATTCTTGTAATCTTGAATATTGTGGGGGATTGTTGGAGGGAGATTCAAATTTACAAGAGTTTCTCTCCTCCTTCTCTTGTTTTTGTCGTTTCCTCCCTTGAATGACTCCTTGTCCCACATTACTTGGGAAATGAGTGGGAGTGGAGTATATTTGTAGTCTTGCTCCCTCTATGGGTAGGACCCATAGGAGGAGAGAAGTATAGATATTCCATGCATGTGAGGAGGGGTTGGGGGTGCTTTTCACACGCACGTCGAGCTGAGCTGGGTTGGGTCGGGGTGGGGGCGCGGGTGCGTATACGCGTGATGCACTAAATCATTTTGTTTTATCCGAATTACCTTTTTGAATTTTAAAACGTGTCTTTTCAAATTCAAATTTAATTTTTAAATAAATTGTTTTTTTTTTCATGTCTTTTTTTCCTCCTTGTGCCTCTTTGAATAGATGCACTGTTCTGAAGAGGCTCATGTTTGAAAGGATACATCTGTGTCCATTCGGGTATGAAAGCACTCTATAAGAAGAGTGTTGGCCGACTCAGTCTACAAAAAAAACACACCATTTTTCGACAATATTTTCTCTGAAAAATTTGAGCATCAATCTATAGTGATTCGTGAAAATTTGGTAAGTGAATGCACACCTACCAATGGTGGCGTGTGGATTATTTTATCTTGGAGACCGATTTACGATCACCCGACTCCATCTTCCTACAATTCTCTATTCCGAGTTCCTACAACAACTTCCCAACACACCTTTGGTTGGAAAGCGATTACCGATACTCTCTCTTTACATTTTTACAACATTTTCTTTAATAGAACAGGACGAAAATCCAGGACAACAATGAATCGGCTATCCACTTGGTGAAACTATGGAAATGGAATCGAACCTGCAGATGTCCATATCTCTTATGATTCTTAATTAATTTATTAGGACATGTTTCAAACATGTGAATCAACTATTAAATGTATTCAAAATTCATTGAACACGTCGTTATTGTCAAGAGATAATGTGTCAACTTCGTATCATCCAATTAGAATCTGGCAACGTGTTCACCCTCTATTTCATGTCAGCTTTGCAGATGGATGCACTATTAATAATTTCCTTAACCCCTTTTTTCCAAAATATTGATTTAGCACGGGAAAGAAAAAACCAGTTAATACACCAACGATCTAGCCCTAATTGATTATAAATGAATCAGCAGATTGTCATTTTTCTGTATTATGTATAAACATGTCAATTCATATAACTGTAGCTTAACCAATCCAATCTTGTCAATTCACAGTTGATAATGAACATATTCCCAATGCACAACATTAAAAAGGAATTCTTACGTAAAAAACACATCATACCAGAAAGGTTTTGATCAATCACAAATCCTGCGAATTTTGATTTTTTTTCCACTAGTGTATTATATTTTTATTGAGGGGTTCCGGATTGTTATACTACCATGCGATATTGAGTTTTACTTGCAGTAATCAGATAGGATAATTGGATCGGTTCTTAATCTTTAATAGGGTTTGAGTCGGCGAGTCAGGACTGATTCTGGTTCTTTTCATTTATTTATCGATTTGGACCGGGCCTACCCTAAAGACCTAACCTACTAACAGATTACAGCATTCAACTCCATCGTACATGCATTAAAGAAAGCTGGTCAAAGGATGCAACTTGGGCAGACCAGACCAGGGTTGTGGGTTGAACTTTCATTAAAATCTAAAGGAACTGAAAATTCCTTCAAATCGGATCTTAAAACCAAAATGCTGTAAATATAAACCAGAAGAAATTGCAATATGTGAAGATTTTTTTTTTTTTTTTTACGAGAGTGTGAAGATCAATTATGTAATGATAAACTGTGGAGGAGCCGCCTCCCTTTCTCCAACACCGTGTGCAGGTCACGTGCTTTTCGTACGTCGTGTCCGTTTGAACAGGATGTCAGGAGTTAGGACCCTCGCTTGTTCACAACACTTGTACTCAGAGCCCATCGCTGCTCCTCTCAAGATATTTTTCCCCCTTCATCTTCAGACTGGATGCTTGAAGCCTGAATTTCCATGCTTAATCTTAGAGATAACATGGAATTCTCCACATGGGTCTGTTTGATTTTTATACTTCAACTGTTTTTGCCGATGCCCATTTCATCAGATTCTTCTTTAAGTACAAAAGGTTTTGCGGAAATCTCTGCGAACTTCCTCAATCTTGCCAAAAAACCAGAGCTTGCCGATTGGATGATAGGTATTAGGAGGAAAATACATGAGAACCCAGAACTTGGTTACCAGGAATTCGAGACCAGTAAGCTTATCAGGGCAGAACTGGATAAGATGGGCATCCCTTACAAACACCCAGTTGCCGTTACTGGTGTTGTTGGTTTTATCGGAACCGGAGGACCGCCTTTTGTCGCGATAAGAGCAGACATGGATGCTCTCCCTATGCAGGTTTTGTTGAATTTTGGTAATCTTGTTTCTTTTTCTTTTGTTGTTTCATGTAAGATAGGATTGATCCTTTTGCTGGTTGCAGAATGGTGGTTTACATTTTGGGTTAGTGAGCTTTAATTGTTAAAAGTTAGTTAGTGGGGGAGAATACAAGAGCGGAAGCAACAGTTTTGTGGTTTTATGAATGTCGGTGGAGTTTGTTAAGATCAAGGTTTTGTAATTTGGCTTGATGGGTTTTCCTTGTGATTTAATAGGAGAATGTGGAGTGGGAGCACAAGAGTAAAATCCCTGGGAAGATGCACGCATGCGGGCACGATGCCCATGTTGCAATACTTCTTGGTGCCACAAAAATCCTTCAGGAGCATCAAAATAATTTACAGGTTTACACTTCTTTGTTTTTTTAACTTCCAAAGTTTCTTCTTTGATGTGTGCTACTGAGTCTTGACTATTTTACTAGGTTGCTATCCTGTGTCGATTTGGCAATTGACTCATGAGGTTTATGACATAATCATCTATATTAATGGATATTAGCTCAAGAGCAATGAATGCTAAGGATACTGCCCAGACCACAAGAGGGGATGGTTATGCGGGCCATTTCCTAGGAGGTCACTCTTAGTTGCGTTTTCATAGATAAAAATCATGTTTTTCTTTTTTCCTTTTGGCGCTGTATCTATTGGTATATTTGAAGTTTTACCAGTGAATTGTTCTGATTTACACTCTCTTTAGATATAGAGTGTTAGTAGTACCAGAAGGCTAGGTATAAGCCTTCCAAGGTTAGGTCCTTAGTGCGGCCACTTTGTACCAAAAGAAGCTCCAAAGTTTGGCCCTCCCAAGACGGATGGATGAGGCCAGACATTGGGCTATACCCTTAGTTAACTTAGGAGATGCATTTCGTTAAACTCAACTTGAAAAGAAGGAACAGAACAAGGAAAGAATGATTACTTTCTTGTTGTCAGGGTATCTATATTAATGTGCTCTCATTTATGCATAAGAATTCTATTTTTTTTTTTTAACTTGAACGAAAAGATTTGGTTAAAAAAGGCAAAGAGGTGTTACAAGAAAAGGTTTGGATAGTTAAACAAAAAATTTGGCTCCTTCCAAGCTGTACAAGTTTTACAATATATACAAAGCTCTATAGAAGTGAAGTACATTTCTACCTTATTAATACCCAACCTGGTTAATCCATCTTCAGTGTCATTTCAGTACCTAGATATCCATCTCAAGATATGGGCGCAGTTTCTCAACTGAAAGCATATCTCATTTAGAGTCCATTTGGAAGGGCTTCAGTGCTCATTGAGCTGCATTGATTGAGCCGCTCCAGTTCGCTCGCTCACCGAAGCTCCGAGAACCCCCTATTTGCTTATGTTGTTCATTTATTCATTGCAATAAAATATCTTCTTAAAAGGCAATGAAAGTTGTAAAATCATTATTTTTTGTGAGAAATAAGAATTTCAGACCCTAACATAGACTTATTCGGGCTTGCCTCGAGGGGCGTGCTACAAAAGCGACTCATAGAATCAAGAATGCAATATGTTTTACATCACATTAACTACTTGAAGCAATGCAATTTAGGAAAAAAAAAAGAGATTGTGGGTTTTACATGCTTGAAAATGCTTTATATGTTTGCTTTTATTTTTAAATTTTCATTTGAATACACTTTACATGTTATGTTTATGTATTTTAATTTTAGATAATAGGTTTTTTAAATCATTTACTTTAAAATTTAAGTTTACATTTCTATTGACATTATGTTTAATATTTTTTAAAATTTTTTAAAATTTTTTGGAATTTTCTGACTTTCTTTTTATTTTTACCTTTTTTTTTTGTAATTTTGTGCCTTTACTAAAAAGGCGTGCGCCTCGCCTTGCGCCTCAGGCACAAATTGGCCCTTGCGCTTTGCGCTTTTAAAACACTTATCCATCCTTCTAAAACTAGGGATACCTATATGGTTAGACATTAGCTAAGCTGGCACTTGGAAGTATAGGTAGCTTGTGGCCATGGGCCTTGGTAGGGGAAGGCCCTAAGGATCCTAGAACACCTCTTTATAAATCAGCCAATAACTGCTAGGGACCCAACTCATCATGTTCTGGGTTGGCTGACTCACTACACAGTGTTGGGTTGGTGAGGTTGGGGCCCATAATAGTATAGGTGGATTAGTATGCTGGAAATACTTTAGTATAGTCTAATTGCTCTCCTGTAGGGGTGTAAATGGATCGAATTTGAATCGGATCAGGCAATATCCAAATTCGAATCCGATTAAATATTCGAATATTCGATTTGATTCGAATTTGATTAATTAATTATTTTAGATAATTAATTAATATATGAAATAAATATTTTATTGATATAAAGTATATAAATTATTTATATAACTTCATTATTATATATATTATATAAAATATTTTATATATTATGCATAAGAATTAAATAATCGGTCGAATTCAGATATTTATCAAATCGAATAAGGTCATATCCAAATTCGAATCTGATTAACTATTCGGTAAGAATAGGATATCCGAATTCGACCGATTAGATAATCGAATTATCCAAATTCGATTCGATTATGTCGAATATCGAATTCGAAATCAGATTTTCGAATACCGTTGACACTCCTACTCTCCTGTTTGAGTGGGCTGGGTTTGAGGCCTTGTAAATGGTAATTATGGCCTTCCAGCTTGAAGTCCATGGTCAGACTGACCCAATCACACATCATGGGAACCACAGGACTCCTAGCACCAATTCAGTCCTCTGAAGTCTAAGGGATGTAGGTCCACCTTCAATTGGTTTTGTTTCACCCTTAATTCCACCCCCTGCATATCCCTTCACACCTTAATTGATGCCCAATTGCGATGTGGACCGGGAATGGTTATAAGGCTGGATTGGCAGACCAAGTTATTTGGCCAATTAGTCTATAACAAAATTGAGTGTTTAATCATTGTCAATCAAAATCGCCACTTGTCGCCCTTGGACCACCCTATGCGCATGGTCTGTAGTGACATGGAGCCTGTAAGGGCCTGAAGGGAGATCTCCTTAATTTCCTCCCCTGTCTATGGTCTAAGTCCTAGTATGGTCAACTAGTCCTTTGTCTTCAAAATTTTCATCTTGAAAAAGGAATAATTGTTGCTGTTTGCACTTACATCCGGTACCAAATTTGTTGTCACAATTGTAGCAGAGGCCCTGTTCTCAACAGTCTGCATCTTGTCCCTGGTTAGTTTCCTAATAGGGAGGGAGCCCTATGGCTTTCACTGTGTAAGTATCAAGTCTTGCCAAGGGAGATTTGAGTATTGGCCCTTGTGGCTTAGTGAATTTCTTTAGCTTACTCAGTCCTCATGGAACCGGGATAGACTAGTGAAGACCACCACTGTATTGGGCTGTAGGATGTTAACTTCTATTCGAGTATCTTCTTGCATCCCCCAATGAAACAGTTGACCATAGCCTTTTCAAGCCACTTGTACACCCTAGCCACTAGCTTCTCAAACTCTTGTTGGTTATCCCAGACCATCTCGATTTGTTTGAGTTTAGATAAGGCGCCATCATAGTCATCGAAGACTGAGCGAGCACATGGTGCTTCGGTAAAGTCAACCCAAGGAGCCTGATGATGAGAGCGCTGGTACCACTAAAACCAGATTATGGCCTCCTCCTCCAAATGGATTGAAGCTTCTGAGACTTGATGGTGGCTCAGCACTTCATTATATCCAAAGTTAAAGTTCAGTACAGAAAACCCCAGAAATAGGATCATCACCTGAGAATGTTGGAAAATTGACTTTTGCAGATCTATACAAAATGAAGTTGGATCAGCGATTGCCTCCCTGACTAGAGCTTTCCACCTCACTCTCCCAATTCTCCTGTTGGCTGTTGGAAGAAATCCTCTCGTACTGAGACACAATTGCTGAGAGGGTTTCTTTCAGGTCCTTCAGATCTCTGGAGACCTTCTGCAGCTCCCCTTTGATCTTATCCATTCGCTTATCTGCCACTGATGATTGAGTGATCGTCATTGTCGTCGGAGCTGGCTGTTATCTTTCCGGGCTTTGATACCAATTTGGTGAGATACTGCTCACTGCAGGGGCTTCTTCAAGGGAGCCTAAGCCTAAACAAGAGGGAAAGAGAGGAGAAAAGGATATTCTGAATTCAGCAGTGCCTTCGCCCTTTGTCAATACCCTTTTACATAGTTGCATTGATTTTGCATTACAAGCAATTATAACTAACTAGCCCTACATGTCTTATGGATATAGATGTATCTGGCAGGTGGGCCATTTGCTGGGGAAGAGCAATCTGCTTGCTTGGCTGGCTCATGAGCATTATTTTGGGCTGGGCCCTAGCTCTCAGTAGAGCCACAAGCTAAACCATGAAAATACTAGTCCATTGATTTGGCATAACTCTGAAAAATTACCACAAGTTTCAAATCCTAGAGTCAATTGTCTCAAGGAAAATGAGAATACTAACAAATGGTAAATTACCTATTGTCCAACATGGCCAAAAGCATGGTCATGTGTTAGATCAGGACTGTTGTCCTCAAAGCTCAGTCTCCAAATATCCCTACTCTTAATTTTCAGGAAAACCCACCCCATCCTGTTAGTCACATATCCTCAACAATTACAGTCCATTGGTTTACCAAATTTTGGATGTTGCGCCATTCTCTGATTGAGCTCAAAGTTTACAGGTCACTTATTTAGAGAATAAGCTTTAATATGAGCAGTTCTAAATGTGTTCGACCATGCCATCCTGCAGATAACTAACCTGCAGATGACCCAAGAACTGCCCTCATCTTAAAACCTTATACAAGTCTTTCAGTGTAGTCATTACCATATTAACATGATTAATGTATTTGAGTAGAAATTAACTCCTAGAACTATATCAATGCATATAATACAATGTCAAAATTGTTCCTCATGTTCCTTGAAAGTTTTGTGGTTAACCAACTTTTCTTGAATTGCCATTGTATCTGTGGTAAGAATAATTACCTCTAATTCATATATAAGGAACAATCAGAACTTCACTCTTTATAAGGTTGTTCAATGACCTATAATTTGATCCCTGAAAATGAGATAATGCATCAAATAGAATATTATTGAATAAATAGGTGAAGCAATACTTTGGCAGCAAAATTGGATCACCTAATGCCTATTCCAGCTTCCATTTGGGGAGGATCTTTGGTGGTTTCTGCTTCATTTATTGTGATTTGTGGAGAAGGATTCCATCAAATTGTTTCTATTTTGTAGAATATCTACGACTACAAGACTTTTTTTTTGCTTAATTACAATATAAAAAAATCGTTATTAGTTATGCTGGCATTGTCACAGTTATTTTTGTTGTTTACACAGGGAACTGTTGTTCTTGTTTTCCAACCAGCTGAGGAAGGAGGTGGAGGAGCAAAGAAAATGTTAGATGCTGGTATATTGGAGAATGTTGAAGCTATCTTTGGTCTGCATGTCTCTGTTGATTTACCTATTGGTAAAGTAGCCTCCAGACCTGGGCCTATTATGGCTGGAAGTGGCTTCTTTGAGGCAGTAATAAGTGGAAAGGGGGGTCATGCAGCTATTCCGCAACACACAATAGATCCAATATTAGCAGCTTCCAATGTGATTGTTAGCTTGCAACATCTTGTTTCTCGTGAAGCTGATCCTCTGGATTCACAGGTAAATTGCTGTCTTTTCATGCCAAAACAACTTAAATACAAGAATACGTTGACTTTTATACCCCTTGTTGATTGGAATGAACCAACAACAGTCAATTGACCACCTGTATTCCTGCTTCTTTCTCAGCCCTATCTTGCAATTCTCTGTGGTTTCTTATTGTTATTTTTTGCATTATAGAACACAAGTCCTTCAAAGTTTCAGCGAAAGGTTTTAATTTCCTCGTCTGAATCTTTTCATGGTTAGAGCATATTAACAGTAGTGGCTTTAAGGAAGAAAAAAAGAAAAAAAGAGGAAAAGGACAATGGGTCTCTACAATGTAACACATGTCATATCTATCAGGAACATCACCTTTGTATATGGTTAATATTTTGCAAATGGATGATGTTAGTAAGCACCCTCATCTTCGACTGTACCACAGCTTCTGTATTTTCATTCATGGAATGGCAGATAATTTGTTTGTATTCATGTATTATATTCATCTTGGTTGCTACACTTGCAGGTAGTAACAGTTGCAAAATTCCAAGGAGGTGGTGCATTTAATGTAATTCCAGATTCTGTTACCATCGGTGGGACCTTCCGAGCCTTTTCAAAAGAAAGCTTTATGCAGCTTAAGCAAAGAATTGAGGAGGTATAATGGTTAAGCATTTTGCATTTTAACCAGAATTCACTCAATTCAGTCATTTATGAAGGCCAATTAATCTTCTGATGCAACTGACAGGTTATCACAGGACAAGCCGCAGTACAGAGATGCAGTGCAACAGTTGACTTCTTTTTAGACCAGAAGCCCCATTTCCCTGTAACTGTAAACAGCCAAGACTTGCACGAGTACTTCCAACAAGTAGCAGGTGACATGTTGGGCATCCGTAATGTAAAAGATATGCAGCCATTAATGGGATCAGAGGACTTTGCTTTTTTCTCAGAGGCAGTACCTGGATATTACTTCTTCCTTGGGATGAAAAATGATACACGCGGGAAGCTTGAACCAGGGCATTCGCCCTATTTCACAATCAATGAAGATGCATTACCCTATGGGGCAGCCCTACAAGCATCTTTGGCTGCAAGGTACCTCCTTGAATTCCACCCAAAATCTCACTTTCAAGAAACCAAGTTTCACGATGAACTATAGGGTGCTGTTTCTTCCTCTTCACCTTCGTGATATCTTCTGTTTAGGATTTTCTCAGAATTTAAACACCATCCGTCCATAGCGTATGAAGCTATGCAGTTATATATTAGTACTGGATACTGGATTCAAAACCATGAACCTGCTATGGTTGTAAATTTAGTTGCATTGGTAAATTGGAGACTAAATCCATGCACGTAATATTGTTTCTAGTTTCTACCCTTGGCGATTGTTTGAAAACTGTAGTATTTCCCTTCCACATACAGCTGTAAAAACTGGTTTGCAGTAAATAAGGTTGCAAGCAAAGGTCAATAGGTTATAAGGCGGTGTGCCTCATAACCATATTCATTAATTCAACTGCTCACGATTATAATCTTGTAAAAGATAACAGAATGTAGAAAAGATGGACACACAGACAGACCACGTATGCATGTGGTTAACAGTTAGGACATGGTTGCAAGCACAATTAAGCAAACTTACAAGTAGACATGGAAATCCCAGCCATAACTAGATTATACAGTTCGGCTATGGTTAAGTGTAGAAAAATAAGAGCACATTTTTTAAGGTTCTAGATAAGTTAAGGTCATAAAAAATAAGATGGAGAGAAATCGAACAAAGTTTTTGGATGTATGCCTAAATATCAATTTTGCGAGGTAGGTTATTTATTTATTCACTTGTTTACTTGCAATGACATGACATGAGATGAGCTTGTTTTATAACTTTATATTATTGTCGGGCTTTCAGATTGGCATCCGATATTAAAGCTCGCCACACTTTTTATTTATTTATTTTTATAAACAGGTTAACAGGGATGCTGGGTTGAGTATTTATCTGGAATCTTTATTTATCATATCTCATAATGAAAAAGAGACTGAGCTAAGGCCTCATTTCAGTGGTTTTGAGCATGGATTTCAAAACTGGACTGGACCAGACGGTCAGACCAGAAAAACTGGAAACCAGTCACCTAACCGTGTCCAAAAATTGTTGATTTGGTCAGTAAACCGTTGACCCAGGCGGTTGAATTGTTCGAACCATTCAGTGGTTTTTTATTTTGTCAGAATGGGCTGTCTATTTGGTTCAAATGGTTGGACCGTTTGACTCGAGAACCGGACCCCTGAATGGTTCGTTGTCTAGTTTTGTTTTAAAATCCTTGATTTTAAGAAATAACCTGGGTTGTTAGCCTAGAGTCTAGTAGGAAATGGGAAAAGTTTTACAGCCACCGCATCTTGACTATATATTTCTTGGGCCAAAGGCAGACTAGGGCCTCTTAGGAGGATTTTTTTTTACCCCTAAATTTACTGCAGTGGAGGGCAGCCACCTTAAACTTTATTAATTAAAGGTAGAAAGATAGATATAGCCCATATAGGGGAGGACATAGCCCGTCTTGCCCTAAAACCGAAATACAAAGCACACAATCTCACCATCTCAACCCAGCCAAGAAAAGCCATAAAAAGAAAAACAATACATATACAAACTAAAGCAAAAAAAAAAAAAAAACATTACCTTATACGAAAAACAGGAAGTCTTCGGTAATCTTCTTAAAGCTTTACAAGATCACGTGGAATGTTTTTGCATTGAGTTGTATTCAAGAAAGTTTTTCTGATGAATTCCTCTATTGGCCAAGAAGTCCATACATCGATTTTCCTCTCTAAAAACGAGAGAATTTTATTTGCATAATAAAGCTCACTTTCTTAATTTTACGCCAAATATAAGTAATTTTACAAGGAACGATGAACTTACCAAGACAGATATTCAATTTCAACCTCTTCCATGGAGGATCTATTTCCAACATGAGAAAGCAGTTTGATATCGAGATATTGACACACTGGATATACAAAAATTGGATATCTGGAGTTATTGATTAAACGAGAAAGAAGTTTTTTTTTTGGGGAAAATTTTCAATCAATACCCTGTACTTTGGCTCAAATGACAATTTGGTCCCCAAACTTTAAAATGTGACAATTTTGTACCCAAACTTTTAAAACGTGACAATCTAATACCTACCGTTAATCAACCATTAAGTGACATTTGAAAAGTCAAAAATGCCCTTCGAATGCCATCTAATTCTCTTTATCAACCATCTAAACTTTGACAAAAAACTGAACAGTCACAAATCCTAGCCTCTTCAAAAAAAATGGTCACTGTTTAGAAGAATCTAGAATTTGGGACTGTTCATTTTATTGTTAATGTTTAGATGGTTGATAAAGAGAATTAGATGACATTCTTAGGACATTTTTTACTTTTCAAGTGTCACTTAACAGTTGATTAACGGACACCCCCCC